TGAAATACTCAGGTCATTAACCGCAAGAATGGTTATTGCTCTACACCTACCTTTTGCGCTCATCAGTGTAAATCACCATAAATTTTGCACAAAGTAAATGAATAATTTCCATCTCTAACGATCGTTCTTAAAAAGTAATTCAGCTGCTCAGTGAGCAATTTTCCCGACAAAACTTTTAACTGCCCATACTTGAGAACCACGCATACCTGAGTGCTGAATCTGAAATATTTAAGTCGTATTTGGACAGGGGACGTTCCCCTAAATTTCAGCTTTCTGGCTTCTCTGGTTTCCGAGTTAGTAATTTTCCCGCCAAAACTTTCACGCACCCTTACTGGAGTACCACGTATAACTGGAGGCTGAATTTGAAATCTTTAACTGACACCTACACAGGAAATATCCCTACAAAGTTTCAGCCCCTTACCTTGTCTGGTTCCCAAGATTGCTTCTCCATCAAAAAATTTGCACACTTTTTTTAAGACGTCCATACTCGGCACTCAGGCGCAGGCGGACAATGATATTAAAACGGGAGATTTGGGCACATACTCCCAAAGCTTCAGTCTTTTAGCTCTTCTGGTTCTCGGGTTGAAAGTGGGTGAGAAAAAGTGCGAACACACAGACACGCAGACACACACGCACACACACACAGCCTCTTGCCAATATGCGTTTTTGTAATTTGCATATATGCAAAAACGCAAAAAAAACCAGAAGGTAGCGAGTGTTGTAAGTACTTGGGTCCGAGACTTCGTTTGAACGGTTGGTTTAGCAATCGCATTTAGTAAGTGTTGTGGAAATTTTAAAGATATAAACAACGAATATTCCTGGCTAGGAGACTGGAAAAGGAATGGGTCTGCAATCGTCTTTGTGCTAACATATGCAATTTGTTTGGTGTTGCTGACCCATCGAGGAGAGGAACACAGTTGAATTTTCATAATTAATGAAAACACAGTGGGAAGTAATGCTATTTAGATCTCCCAAATAAGCAAGCCTGTATTTATAGTGACTTAGTAAATTGTTCGATTAAAATACCAAAACATCCAGGAGCACTTGGACAATCGGTGTGCGGGGGT